ATGTCTGCAGACTTACAATGTTAGAAACCGGGTTTCGATACTCGTGGTGGGCAGAGCACAGATAGCCCATTGTGTAGCTTCGTGCTTAACTTCAAACAAACAAAACTTTTGAATAACTAAAAAATCATAATTTACTAAATCAATACCACAGAATTCTACTATAATTTATCAAACTTAGTAACTAAGCTGTATTTGGGTCTAAAAAAAATATGAAATTTCAAGCAGAATAAACACGCAACCTACCTCTTTGAAATCTTGGTTCAAAAGAAGGAAATGCCACTAGGTATGTTAGAAATGCTGAGAAAACCACTAGGAGGACATTCTGAGCTTCTGATTGGTTATTCATATTATATATAGAAGTAAGTGTATATAAGGGAGTGTTTCCAAAAATGGAAAGAGGTGAGTGGGGTGCCACTGTGTTTGATTTATTACATGAGCAATATCTTAGCAAATAGAAAAGATAAGACCATCTTATTTTATATTATAGCTTGTCAATATCTGTAATTTGAGTTTCTAATTCATATGAAAGTATAGCCTTAGTATTTTGACTTCACAAACATCTAATTTGAACCAGTGCTGCATTCAACATACCACGTGACATACAAAAATTATTGTTTATCTGTGTTTTTTTAATATTCACTTTTAAATTAACAAATTGAGTAATGTATAGTTCTAAAATTTGAATTATAATCTACAGTTTCATTCCAAATTTATTGACATAAATTCATGAAATAGTAGTTCAATAAAATTTTTGAATGCAAGTGAACAAACAAAGTGGCATGGCCTTTCACCTGTGACCTGTCTCGAAAGGGTTAATCCTTGGGAATTTGACCATTGTCTATTGATCTACTAAAACTAAGGAATAACATTACAGAATAGCTTAAATTATATGCACATTACTATTTTAGGTAAAAGCTGTTGGTGTAGAGTAACCAAAAGTAAGAATAAATTTCAAATGGTATATTAAAAGTAGAGCAATCTGAGTTGTTGAAGAAATTGGGTTTAAAGCTACTTTTAATTCAGTTTGGAAATGTGTGTTTTGATTACCTAAATTTTTGTGGGAAAAGAAATTATAAAAAATGAACTTGTGTGTATTTGTCAAGTTTTTACACGTTTTTTATTTGTCTTTCACTTGTGAGGATTTCATTTGGATATCAGAATTACTCTTACATCTAATAAAATACTCAGCCTAGAAAAACACAAATAATGAAACAAAAATTATATTTATAATTCTAACCATAGACACAGTGATCTCATACATGATTTACTTAAAAACTACATTCACTAACAAGAAACAGGTATGAAAAGTAAATACTGCTGGTTTTGTTTAAGCAAGAGAAATATCTTTTCCCAAATCCATATCTTTTTTTTTTCTTTTCTGTTTAGTCATTTGTGATGAATGTAATAAATCAGCTGCCCACTGGAGTTGTGACAAATGTACTGCAAACTTTTGTAACATCTGTTTTGATCTTGTAAGTATTCAACTTTGTATTCACACTTAACCCTAGAATCGTCATTGAGGTCCACATAGACCCCATCTGGTTTATAAGCAAGTTTTTTCTAAACTGTTTATGCACCTCTGTGTAATCCAAGGTTATATCTACTTTATCTTCACATTAACATTTTTATTTGCATGTATAAGTAAGTTACAAAATGGATGTAATGAGTAACATTAATTATTTTACATGAAAGATGGTGAAAATACCAGGTGTTCATTTAATCAACCACACTTATGATTATAAATTCTAACTGTAACCTACATGAAGTTTTATGCTATATATATATATATATTAACACATAAAATTTACTTTAATAAATTTATCTTAACATATTCCTTCATAAGATTTTAAGAAGTTAGATCCATTAGTCAACCACTCATATGTATTGTTTAATTTTAACCAAACTTCACATAAACCTAAATGTTACATACATGTGAAATATAAAATTAACTTTATTAACCCATTAACTGCAGGTGATGGATATTTCCGTCATTGAAGTTCTATGGCTCAGCTGTGAATGATGGAAATATCCATCAGTCGCACATATATAACTATAACTCTATGCGAATGATGAAAATTACCATTTTATTGTGATTGATGGCAACTCAGTTTTATCTGTGAGTCAGAAAACGGCAACTGAGCTGCTCCTGCTACAGTTAATGGGTTAAATATATATCAACATATTAATTCTTCATAAGAAGTAAGATTCTGAAAAGTTTTTTGTAAATTGTAAAAAGTTAAACAATTTTAAATTACTAGGTATCTCAGACCATAATTAAACTCATCTAAGTTTAACTGACCTTTAACCTAAAGAAATAAGACATTGAGATAGTTATATAAAGGTCACAGGAAGCAGCTAGTTGTGTAACATGATTATGAATGTTACTTATGTTAATAATATAATTTTGAAAAATTAGGGGTAGCATTTTATTGTTGAATTTGTACATATATTTACTAATTCTAATTTTTGGAATATTTCAAGTCAAATACTGTGGTGTTTTCATATTCTATTCTTGATTCAAAGTTCATATATGTTATTTTTAATATGAATAATATTAACTAGATGTAGACTTGTAACATTAATTCCCCCATAGCTAATAATTACATATATAAGGATATGCAAGTGCATGAGAAACCATCAAAAACATTTCAAATTTAACATAAAAAACCCAATTTTAACATAATACTCATACTTCTTAGCAGTTTAGTATTAATCAGTAATGACTCCTAGATAACTGATTTAGCTAGTTTGTTAAATAATATTTTTAATGTCTGTCTGAAAGTGACTTATTTTTTATTTCACAAAATCATGTTTACTTTTGCTGAAGTCAATTGAAAGTTTATTTGTTAACATCCATTTATGTATAGTATTTCTTTAACTATAAGTATTCATCCAATCTTTTCTTGAATTCAGTTAAATTTTCTGCCTCCACCACCCTTGAAGACAGTTCATTCCAAAAGCCAACCACCCTGTTTGAAAAATAATACTGTCTAAATTGCAGAAGACTCCTACACTGCCAAAATTTAAATTTATGACCCCTTGTCCTATTTGATGGATCTGTATTATCAATACCCTTAAAAATCTTAAATACCTCAATGAAATCCCCTCTGACTCTTCTGCTCTCCAGAGAAAACAAGTTTCCAGATTTTAGTCTCTCCTCATAGGACAATCCCGTCATCCCAGGTATCATCCTAGTGACTCTTCTCTGAACCTTCTCCAACAATTCGATGTCCTTCTTGAGGAAGGGACCTCAAAACTGTACACATTACTCTAAATGAGGCCTTACAAGTGATCTATACACTGAAACAATAATATATCTTGTCTTGTATTCAATATTTCTCTAGATACTGCCCCAAATCCTGTTATCCCTATTGCTAGCTACAATACACTTTTTAGATGACTTAAGTGATTTTTTTATCACAATACCAAGATCTTTTTCTTCAACCACAGTATTTTTTGTATTCCCATTTGAATTGTAAAACTTACATGCATCACCTTACATTTTGTATAGTTAAACATCATTTGTCACATATTAGACCAATGCATCAAATGATCTAAATCTGCCTGTAGGTCTGTAGCATCTTTGATACAGTTAGCCACCTCAAGAATCTTAATGTTATCTACAAACTTCAAAATTGTTTTGGTCATTCCCAAATTAATATAAATCACAAACAGCAGAGGACCCAGCACAGAGCCCTGAGTCACACTGCTTGTGTGATCCAGTCGGATCTAACTCCATTTATTACTACTCTTTGCTTTCTGCTCTCTAGCCAGTTTTTTATTCAATTTAATAACATTTCCTCCACACCTACATATTTAATTTTTGTAACAAGTCTTTAGGCACCTTATCAAACACTTTCTGAAAATCAAGGGAAACCAAATCCACAGTATTTCCTTCGTCAACTCTTGCAGTAACATCCTCAAAGAATGTCAGAAGATTTGTTAAACAAAAGTTTCTTTTGGTGAAACCATGCCGGCTCTTTGATACAATTACTTATTATAATATTGTTATCAATCAAATAAAGCATAATCTTCATAGCGTTCAATTTTATTTGGTTACAGAGCCATCAAATAGAAGATTATACCCCTCTTGCCGCAGCTACCTTTCACATCCTCTCTTTCAGGATTTGTCAATAGTTCTCACTTACGTTTAATACTATATTATTTTTAACAAATAGAAAGCCAAGGTTTTCATCTATCAAATAAAGCATTATATTATGCTATTTTCTGTATAGAAAAGTGTTAATTTCTTCTCCTGTACAAGCTTCATTCTCACGGGAAACGCATCGCCTAGCTTGGATGAATTTGTAACAGGTCTTGTCACATAGTTAGAAAGTCAGGAAAACTGTGAGAGTTATGGTACATACGCCTTGTGCACATTATTATTCTATGTTCTTTGGTGCATTATTTAATTAGATAAAAATTATTTAGTGCACTACTACCATTAGTATAAAAAAAAAAGTAGGGTTAAGTATCATTTACAGTCGACAACAGCAGAAGAAAAGAAGACTCAGGTAAGTCCTGTATTTCTTGTTGTTCACGTGTATTCTTTATTTATTATTATAAAAGAAACTAAAATGTAAAAATAGAAAACTCTTTAGGTCAGTTAAGGTTAGAATAGGTAAAATAAATAATAATAATAATATAATATGGCACGCACTTGAGCAGCTTGGAGTAGCTCGTGGGTAATATAATTTGATAGCGTAATGTGAGCTGCGCATTTCCCAAGTGATTTACAACTTATAATGGTGTGAATACTACTAGTAATTAGAAATTGTTCAAAGGGAAATAAAACAATAGAATTTAAATATATAAATAGATGTTTAAAGCTACTTAGGATAAACAAATGTTGTTTCATGTTACAGTTTGAAGTCATTCTCTTTTTATTTTTGATGGTTATGAGGTCAGTCAAATTAACTAACCTTGTATAGAGTTAGTGTAGAGAAAATAACAGGTATAATATAAAGTTTTACTGAAAAAAATGTTTAAAATGTATTTAGGAGGTTTTAGAGATTATGCAAATGACATTTTTGGGATGTAGAAAGAATTTTTAATCTTAACATGAAAATTATTTTTCACTCAGACTGGTCGAAAAAGACTCGATATATTCACAGACAAATCTTTAGTAAAAATATTATTCAACTGATTTTTTGTGTTCAAATGACTTGTAATGTTTAATAAAACTTTTGTGAAGATACACATACTGTGTTAAAAGTTATAGTATTAAAACTATATACAAGTTAAAATTATCACTTGGTTGGTCTTTGGCACCGAGACTGTATTAGGAGAATTCATAACTGGTTTAATGCTAGTCTAGTCTAGTCAGCTGGGCTGTGGGTGCCAACTGGGCACATACTACTACACAGTGTATATGTGTGTGTGTGCGATATGCGCAAGAAAAAGAGTGAAAGTACTATATGTGAGATTTGGCGGGGATTTCCGAGAAATGATCATCTTTGGCTTTGATATACCAAACTGAAATGTTATGGCACTTTCACTGTGTTGTGAGAGGTTTCGTACATAAGATACAAGAGAAAGGAATGATTTGCATGTTATGCTAAGCAAAGAGGAATGTGATTCACAATTGGGGTTGTTCTGAATCACAAATTGCTGTGTTAACCCAGATATTAAAATTTTCTGTATTGTCCAACTCTTGGGAGGACCTTGTTTAAGGGGGTGGTGTAATGGGCTCCTTTCCCTAGGGAACACAGTGCTCAAAATTTCCATTGATAGTCCAAGTGTACTACATAGTTTTTCTTGTGATCATTTTGTATTTCTTGCATGATATAAATAGGAAATATAGAAAAAAAAAATATGAATTAATTTTGCAACACATTTTCTATTTTTAATGCTGCTCCAAAGACAAGGTTTAGCCATCCTAAAATGCTTAAAATTTAGCTCCAGAAACAAGATTTAGCTATCTTGAAAATACTTGAAATTCAATTTCATTCAGGGGGGATTTACTCCCTGAACCCTTTGACCTGTGGAGGAGGACCCACAGACCCCATTCTACTTTAAATTATAATGAATATGTTTAAAGTACATCTTACTTTACAATGTTCATATCCATTATTGTTAATTTACTTGAAAATCTAAATATCCTGACAAATATTGGAAGATGATCAGGAATATCATGAGTTACTATAGAAAATGTAGCTTAAGATTATTGTTATAAGGTAGGACTTGTTAAAGTAATTTTAGTTGTCTAGTACATAGAAGGATGCATCCTTTAAAAAAAATAGTATTTAAGTAACAACTGATATGATTAGTATCGAACTTAAGCATATCAATATTTATGTCACTACCACTTATATAGTACTTAACATTTTTCGAATTACATTTCAGAAATATATTTTGTAATTGTGAGTATTGCTGTTTGATTTGTGTTGCTTATCTTTATTAGAATTTCACAAACTCTTGTCTATTTTATGTTCTCCTTTTTTGCTAAATGACACCAACAAAACAACTTATACCTTTTGTGTATGATGTTTTCATCAACAAATATTCTCTGGTGAAGTGAATAGCCAAGCACATCCACAGTCCCAACTTGTTTTTTGCATGCATAAAGTGTTTTTTGTTGTTGTTGTTATCAAAGTATACAAAGGTTACTATAATAAATGGCATACCACCAGATCTAGGCTTATGGAGTCAGTTTGCTATATTAATATTCCCTGGCATCTTAACTTTTGCAATTTTCATTAAAGTTTTATTCACTTCCTCGTTTTTAGTAACTTTCACCCCAGAAATTTTATCGACCCTTCTTCCCTGCTGTTTGACAGCATCAGTCAGTCATTGTATTTGAACTAGCCTGGTTTTGAAACAGTTACACCATTTGCTTTAATGTGATCTTTTCTTCTTCTTCAAGATTTTTACATTTACAGCCATGCCTTTCAGATTGTCCAACAGGTCAGCTAAAAACTCTCAGCTTTGTTTTATTTAATCAGTGTTAAGTGTAATGATAATAATATTTTTTGCTTTACCATGTTGTTTATACTTTTTTTTGTGGTAGTATCAATAATATTCTCAAGCAACCTTTTCTCCGTTTGTTCTATCTTTTGATAAGTATTCACACTATCTTCAGCAATACCGTGAGTTACTAGCCTCAGCCATATCACCAGTTGGTGATTTTTCTTTTTTTAGTTTCAGTAAAACATCTGTCATGCATCTTAAAAAAAAAACTCAACTAAAGCACATTTCTCTACATATCCCATAAGATCATTTTACTCGTATCTTTAATATCAATACGAGTCTCTTTTCACTGGAGTTACTCAAAAGAAGTGTTACTGACTCACCAACTAGTTTGAATCATACCTGCTTTACAGATAGGCTTGGAGAGGTTGTTACTGTCCATACCTATATTTGCAACTGTTACAGTAAAGAGTAGTATTTATCCACAAAAATGTGAGGTTTGTGATGTAGTGTGTGGAAGGAGAAGTACAGTGCTTCACTGCAAATGGATTGAAAGAGACCAGAGATGATTCTGAAGTTTAAATTACATAAACATTTTATTTAGCGAAGAAAATTGAAGAATGGCTAATTGTTCTTGTTAAGTAATGTTAGAAAATCTAACGGGTTGTATTTAAATATTTAAGGGAAGTTAACTTACACAATAAGCAGAAAGGGACAAATAAAGATAAATACATACTTCATCGGCAAGTTTTGGTGCCTTCAGGACAAAAATAAAGTCTACCATCCTCATATTTCAGAACCAGTCTCACAGAAAATTAGCAAAAGTTGCAATTACAAAGCACCTTCTCTCTGTTGCTGATCAATTATAAAACATGCTCTGGAAGGTAGAGGAATCTTTGTTTCATTTGAAAGTCATTAAAGTACACCCCATATACAAGGTCGAGAAGGACACAGTATAACTATCCATGAAACAGTAGATAAGTTCTTCAATGGTTAAGTTACAAAAAGTAGCTTTTTCTGGGTAAAGTTTTGCACATGAGCTGAACAATACATAGTATGTTTCAAAGGAAGAATTTGGTGATATTTACAATTTTGTAGATGAAAAAAACTGTGGGAGAGTAAGACATACAGTATTTGCACACCAAATTGCTTATGGGCTCATACACTGTGGGTTACATTGTCCATTATAACATACAAGTCACACATAATAAGAAAAAGTATTGCAGCTGATCCCACTATTATAGGTGGGACCTTCTATATATCTTACGTGAAGAATGAGTGATTTTGTTCAATGTTTTGGGTCAGTTCTTTGCATTTTGTAACAAAAAAAGTACAAAATTATTCAATATAATGAAATATTTGGGGCTCACTGATAGTGAACATTATAAAAACAAGTTAGTAATTCGAGAGCTATAAATCATACTCAACAATAATTTGCAAATTTTGCAGAAGATTTTTGTTCTGTTCATGTACCTGAAAAATATCTACTTAACAGTTCAAAGATGCTAGCAGTATGCATTTTGGAATATGCTCATTTGTTGTAAGTTTGTTAATTCACATGAAAATAAGAAAAATTTAACAGTATGTTTAAGTTTTTGAGAAACAAATGTTCATAGCTCTTCAAGATATTAGATTATTGTACATTTTGTGTTCAGCTCTCTGTCTCTTACAAACATTAGTTGTATTATGCACAATGCTCAAAATGCTCATGCATAAAGTGGTGATAGTGTTTTTCATTGTTTGTAATTCTTAATAAGGATACACAAGAAGTGGGGTACACAAAATTCCAAATCAGAGAAATGGGAGTGTGCATACCCCCACATTGCTCTCCAATTCGAGCACTGATTGTGCAAAATTAGAATTTAGATGTCAACCTTATTTGAAAAGAAATAATGTACAAATGCTAAGCTTATTAATTTTTATTTCTTCTATATTGTGGTAACTTGACGAAAATGCCATTTATATATAAAATTATATATATATGAAATTAATATTTAGAATGGAACAGTACTGGTGATGATAATGATAATATTTAAAGTTGTATATCAATAAAAAATTAAGAAGTAACATGAACATTCTGCAGAATTTCTAAGCTTTTAATTATAGAGAAACGAACACTATGTTTGTTTAAAACCATAGTAAACATTTTGGATGTTCCTAATGTTATTTAAGTTAATTTGTAACTCAAAGGGAATATTTATACTATGTTTCAGATTCACAGAGGATCCAAGTTGATGAAGAAACATGAAGGGAAACCTTTGTATGTAGAGGAGTAAGTTAATTTTTAGCATAAAAATTGCATGAGATATATATTTACTTTCTCAGATGATAAGTATATTTGTTATGATTGAAAAAGTTGTCTGTGCTGTAAACCTGGCTCTTTTTTTTTGGTTTTGTCTTAACTTAGGGCCGATGCATGGGTGGTTAGTACTGTGATGGGTAAATCTTACTGTTAGATCAGATAATAGTAGCCAAGAGTTCTCAGTGTTTGCTGTCATCTATCACATAGTTCACACAGGACTGGAAAACTCCTTCAATTGGGTTAAAGTGGGTTTTGTCCTGGAATTTTGAAAAAACTCCTTGAATTTGCCAGTACTTCCTTGGATTACATTAAATGATCATCAAACAACTCAAAAGTTCTTAAATGTTTCTCAAAAGTTATTTTATTTGATTGTTATCCTTTGCTAGGATAAGTTAACATGGTGACACCAGTTGTCATACAGATTTTTTTAGATTTTATTGCTGCTTCAGTGATACAAATCATGTATGTTTACAGCTGAGTAAACAAAGTTCTACTAAAAGTAGGGTGATTTTTTTTGTCACGAATATAGGTCAATGTGTGTATGTATAATATAAAGTGGGAGAGCAATAAACTATACAAAGACTGGGATAAGCCCTTCAAGATTGATAGAAGAAGGGCTTTATGAGTGAATTGTGGTTGCATGGTCGATCTCTCAAGTGGGAGAGAAAGTGCATTGAATTCACATTTACAGTTTTGAAAAGTGAAAAACATAAGTTAAATAGCACAGGGAGTAGGCACACTCAGTGTTCAAATTATATGTTTCTTTTGGCTAAAACAGGCAGCAGGCTGAAAAATCTATCACATTCCAAAGCTTTTCTAGTATCATGCAAAACTTTGTAATAGAAGGCAATGCACTAAGGGCAAAAATATTGTGGAGGATAATGTTAGGTACTTCTCACCAGTCATATCACTCATCTGAAAACTTGGACCAATTTTTTAGGTTATGTTTCTAGGAACACACAGTTGTAAAATAGTTTAACTCTTTCCTTAAAGGCATATTTTTCTGTGCATATCACGAGGCTTTACTGGGTTACATTCAAAATTTAATTAAATTACTTTATATCATGGTATACAAATGAACTTGACATCAAAATGGAGCTAATAATCTAAATTTTATAATATATAAGTTTTAAGTTCTTAATTTTATAAGGCAATATCAAAAAAAAATCTTGAACTTCCCCTAGTATGAGAATTATGACATTTGTTCTCTAGGTATTCCCTCTTCTCTAATTTATTTACCACCCCTCCAAGAAATACAAAATTTAATGCAAATTATTCATTATAATGTTGTTGTTATTACTCAGGCAAAGCATAATTTTTATAGCCTTCAATCTTATTTGGTTACAGAGCCATAAATCAGAAAATCAGACTCCTCCTGCCACACCCACCTCTCACATTCTCTGTTTCACAAGTTGCCAATAATTCTCTCTGACGTTTAATAGTATGTTATTTATAACCAATAGATAGCCAAAATTTCTATCTATCAAATAACATATTACATTACATTATTTTCTGTACAGAGAATTGTCCATTTCGCTTCAAGTTCAAACTTTATTCCCACAGGAAACTCATCAAAGATCTTTGCTGAATTTTTAATTTTTTCTCAGCCTTTCTAATTTACCTAGTGCCATTTCTTTCTTTTGAACCAAGATTTCAATGAGGTAGGTTGTGTCTTTAGTCTGCTCAAAATTTCATATTTTTTTAGACCCAAATACAGCATAGTTACTAAGCTTGATAAATTATAGTGGAATTCTGTGGTATTAATATAGTAAATTATAATTTTTTGTTATTCCAAAATGCATACGTGAAACCTTAAAAAATATTTTGTTTTACCTCCTCCATGTACCAAATTTGATAAGACTTAGCAACTTAAGCAAGCAGCAAATGAATACAAAGTTTGTAATTAGAAGAGATAATTGCTTTCTATACTTCTTTATTTGCTGATCCATGTTTTAAGAATATTAACTGAAATTTAAAAGCTTATTTGTAAATAATAATGTATATACTAATATATTGTATCGTAACTAAAATGTGAGTATTTTACAAAATACTGGTTTTCTAGAACACAACCAAGACAAGTCACTTTGTAAAGGCCAGTTTTATATTCTTGGATATGGTAACATGAGTGCACGTGCACCACATCATTGTAACTTCTGTAATGTTAATCAGTCAAGGCTGTAAGGTCAATAAAATAATAAATATATACAGATGTATAATGTTATGAGATTTAAGCTATTTAGATTAAACATTTGTGTTTTCGTGTTATAATTTGTAGTTATTTTAGAACAAAAGAAAGCATAATTTATACTTATTTTTTTATGGTGGTTATGAGGTAAGTCAAATCGACCAAACCCATACAGAGATACAATAGTAAAAATAACAGATAAAATATGAAGTTTTTCTAAAAAAAAATTTGCTAATTATCTGTAGGTTATAAAGATTTCACGTATGAAAATTTTCTGATGCATAAAAGTATTTTTAATCTTAAAATTAAAATTACTTTGCATGTTGGATAGTCATCAGTTGAAAAAAAAATACATGAGCAAATCATTACTTAAAAAAATCGTAAAACTTGATACAAAAATCTGATATTTTGCGTACAAAAGCCTCGTAATGTTTGCTGATAATCTGCAAAATTTTGTGAAGATACGCTTACTGTATTAAAAGTTATAGCATGAAAACTATAACAAACACAGATTTTTTTTATGAGATCGGTTCTTGGGACCAAGCTTATAGTGAGAGGGTTAAGCAGTTACTGTAAAAGAATATTTTGGTACCATATATGATACTTTAGGATGAGAGGCTGAATAAAAAGATGCAAGAAACACAAATGAACTCTCTTATAAGATTTTGGAATGATTACAATCAGATACTCCAACTCTAAGTTTCTTGATAAGTTGATCTTCACAGTATTTATTCCAGGTTATAAGAATTCTTATTCTTTCTTTCTCTCTCTTTTTTTTTGCAGATTAGTGAAGATACTTAATTAGACTATAGATATACAAGTACAAATTACATACATTGTGGACTACAAATCATTCACTTGATGGGAGTTTGAGAAAAAATTCCTGAAGAGTTAAATCCTTTCTTTCTTGAAATAAAACATTACAATTGGAGAAAGTTAAGCAGACATGACAATCACATTTTACACATCTGGAATTTATACTAACCAATTTAGTAGTGGTATGTTTTAATATGGCAGGTCAGGTTTGATTCCCTAAAAACTTAATATAAAAGTACAAAAAAAACTTCTTAAAACCAAATCATGTGTATATTCTGGTAGATATTTTTCCATATTTTATAGTTATCTTCATTTTCACCTATGATAAATAGAAACACTACAATACAGATTATGATGATAAAAAGGTTAATATAGTTGATGTTCTGCACCAGTATTTCCCGACGTTTTTTCCAACAGAACACCAGCTAGTTCCAGTCCCTAACTTTCAAGGACAGCTTCTAAAATATTAATTCATTTAAGTATTTTCAAACTACGTATTAAAACAACATTTCACAGTGGTGTAGGAAGATGGGGGAGAGGGTCAATATTTTCAATCTGTCCCAGTAAAAATGTATCAGAATTAGGAAAATTACTCTCAGGAGAATGCATAAAAATTTAATATAGAACCCGAGTGTGTTCAGGGCCCTGATTGGCACACATTCCCTCACTTCATTTAGTCCATGACTTTTATGTATGATGTAAAGTTACTAAGAAACTGAAATACTTTGTCAAATGGTTAATTATGCAACTGAGACTAGAATTTCTATTTCCCAGTATCTCAGCATAGTTCTAATATTTTCATAATTCTTGAAGCTCTTTGCAATTTCAGCAGTTAATATTAATATACATTTTAAAAGTGCATTAAAAACATAAACTCTATACTTTTCTAGTTTTGTTACTCCCAGCTACTTCCTTGGTATCTGAATCCCGTATTTGCTAAAATATCCAAGATCTGCAGCCTCTCGAGTATACCGAAAAAACACTAATATCTTACAAATATGATTGATTTGAGATGATAAGTTAGCAATTTTTGTCATATTTTTAAGAGTTACTTACAGACATACATTCATAGAACAATACTTTTAATTCCTATGTGTTTCTTGAAATTGGCAAATTTGTTTTTTATTCAAACACAAAGACATCACTGTCATGATATAAATGACAGTTTAGTGTAGATGTTATTGATTAACTTAATTTTTGGGTGAATTTTTATGATTATTTAGTAACAAGAGAGTTAGAAGCAGTTATTTAAAGTAAATGTTATGACAAGTTTTGTTGTGTAACTCTGTAAGAGTCATACATTGTGTTTGTAACTCATTGATGTCGAGATAATCAAATGTCATGTGAAATTTATTGATGTCGAGGATATAGAGAGCTGACAGTTAAGTAATGAACATATAAATGGTGTGAAATAAGTGGGAAAAGTAGACAGACACAGGGACAAGAAAGTCATGAGAAGTAGAAGTTTAGCCAAGGAAAGTTGAACATAAAGTTAACTGCCGTAGGAGTGAAAGGCCTAATGGTTAATATAGGCCCAATGATTAAAAGAAATAAGAAGTATAGTTTATTCCATCATAGTGAGTTCTAAAGTAATTGAACCAGCCTGAGTGCACTTTGCGAAAAGGGACAGATAATATCTGAAGTATGAGAACCATACGAGTACTGGAAGAGCGGTATACAACCGTGGTAACTCATGCTATAATTGTAAGTGAAGTATACATGGAATACTAGTGCAATAGTAATAGAGAAAAATACTTTGGCTTGCCAACTGAAATTCTAAAACAATTGAATAGGCCCAAGTGGACTTTAGACAAGAAGAAGAGAACTATATAGTGTTTATGCTATGCCTATGATCTCTATAATGTAAAGAATATTTTGTACATACGTTTAACTAGTTCCAAATATATATATATTATTTTGAAAACAAGTGGAGTGAGTGCTGTTCGTTGATTTTCGAATTTATTGCCAACAAATTTCAGGCACCTGCTGTAGAAGAATCCTTAGCTCAACACACACCTATATATACATTTTACTACAACTCAAAAAACTCTTGACAGTTACAAAGGAACAAAGTGTAATGCTGTAGAACAGTATAAAAATTCTTCTCCTTAATGTTTTCTGCAGCTCTCTTTACAGGATGACATGGGGCTTACTGAGGAGTTCAAAACTGGACACTTCAACATCTTATTCAACAACTGTACCTAAGCTCAAACATTTATTTGTCACTTGGTTTTCTGTCTTTCATTGTCTTCTCACTGGGAAATCCAATATCAACTTTCTTGTAGTAAACATTAATTTTTATATATGTGTGTATATATATATATATATATATATATATTATTTGTGCTTAAGTTTGATCAGATATATATTCTTCAATAAGTTTGTCAACATTAATTTTAATATTGTTTTTTTTTTACAAATGTGTTGTCTGTTGAATTGATATATTGTGACATCAGATTTGGTAAAAAATCTCGTATATAATATTTGTTTTGTGTAGTATGTGTGTGTAATGATCCATAATACTTTTATGACAGAAAGTAGATTTCAGAAAGAATAGTTATTTATTGAAAATTTGGATACCTTATTCTTCGAAGAAGTGTGTAATGTAAAAATAGATCAGTTGTGCTTGCTTTAATCCAGTTATTTTGTGTTCTAGATATCGAAGTATAATTCAAAGTGGTTGTGCTAAACATGATAGTCGCTCTGTTGAATTCTACTGTGAAGATGATGACCAAGTTGTTTGCAGCTATTGTGTTGTCATGGGAGATCACAAAGGACATAGCGTTATCTCCTTAGTGGAGAAGGTACAGATTCAGTCAGTTAAATAGATATATATATATATATATATCATAGGAGCAGTTTACCTCTTTCAAAGAAATCTTAACTATATATTTTCTACAAATGATTATAGTTTATGTGATTTTGTGTTCATTGATAAAAAGGGATCAGGATGATAGGAAATTGTAATAGTTTTTTTTGTCATGATAGTTAGTTTACTTGTAAATATAATAAAAAAAATTAACAATTACAGTTCTCATTTATAATGTGTTTTCACATATATTATACCTAAAACAGGATAATGAATTTTCACAGACTCCTTCTCAATTTCTTCTGCCATTTTGTACTGGAGATACTTGAATTACACCTAGTTTTATTATTATTATTACTATAATCCTGATTTTATGGCATTGCATGCATGAAATAGGATTTTTTTTATAGAACCAGTCTTGTACCGATGATTTACGATGTGCGATTGCAGAAGGTCAAAAGTTTCGCTCTCGCCTGAAGTTAACAGAAAAGGTAATGTACATTTTTAACTGCTATTTTGTCATGCACTTACTACTTCAGAAATTTCAGTTAGCTTAAAAAATAAATATTGTTACTACAGCACACTTCTTTTGTAAAGAAACAAAGTTTTGGTCTCTAGCTGTCAGACTGATAGTTCTTTGTCAAGAGTTATAATATCTAAAACAAACAAAGTGCAGTCCATCATATCAGGGTTTGCAGAGATCTTTGAACTTAATGAAAAAACAAGTTCTAAAAATCTCACTACTGGAAACCCTGGAAAAGAGCTGTCTTTAAGTTATAGTCCTAGAAAAGTCCTGAACCTTTAGTTTCAATAAAAAAAACTCCAATTAAATATTCTGCTTTATCTAGAAAAAAATAAAAAAAATAAAAGTTTGGTTATCAGAATTGAGTTTATTTATATTTCGTGTTGAGCATTGTAAGTGTTGTGCCTTGTGAGGTTTAAGACAGTTGCAAAAACATTTGGTGAATAAAAATTCCAGGAAAATACAAGTATAATCCAGCATGGAAGGATTTGAGACTCCTAGAAGCTTGACTATTAACCCTGTTATATATTTAATCAACAGTTATATTTAATTTAAAAAATATATTTCTGTAAGATGTAAAGAGTAAAGTTGCTTATTTTTTTGTGTACCAACTTGTATGACACTATCCCAAAAAAAGATTGAGCTATTAAATATTTTGATTTTGAAACAGAGAGATAAACAAATAAAAGCTTTAGGTACAAAATGTCATTGAGCCAAGATGTATCTCAGATTTCTTATCATACGACATCAAAAATCTATTGTAAATCTGGAAATTATATTTTAATCTTGTATTGTTGAAGAAATCTATGTCTGACTGTCTTTTTTTCTTGCAGAAACTGTCAGAGCTAATTCCGGAAGAGAAAATTGATACAGCTCTTCTTGCCAAGGAAGTTCACTCACGGTTTCACACAATTCACGGTTTGTTGCAGCTCAGGTGAGTGCACCGGGATACGTATACAGTATTTGAATTAATTTTGGAAATAGTGAATAAAATGTGTGTAAAATGCAAGTATTATAAGATTACTCTTCCATTGTTGTATGAGAATGAACTGCACCACACTACAGGCATGTATTCATAACTTTCTTCAGGTGTTCCCCTCATTTTCAACGGAGAATGAGGAGGATAAATTTGATTTTTTCCTTCTCCTGGTTATGCTTTGGGAACTTCTCTTCCTGTTGAAGAGAAACCTTAAAACTTCCTCACATTATCAGTACTTATTTTCACAGATATGCTCTATTCTTTTTCTTTTGTTCTTGTCATATTATTCTTTTTCCATACTTCTTAATCCTAATCCTAACTAATCCTTTTCCTTGACCAGTTACATTCCTGCAACTTCAAGCCTCTCCATTTCCATCTAACTGATTCTTTTATCCTCAGTTTTAGTTATTCTGAATCCCCTTTTGCAATTCCCACATTGTTTGGGATTGCCTTTACCTGTTCTGGGGTGGGGGAGCAGACAATTTGGCATCAGTTTTGCCCTCCATTGCCCAATATTCCTGTATTCAACTGATCTTCTTTACCTCTCCTCTCTACACCAAGTCTGAAGCACTTCACCATGCCCAGAAAAATTTGTGGACAAATCTTGTTTCGTTCACTTCTCCACTGTGGCCTGTTCTACTTCTACCATTTCCCTGCTCACTCAGCTCTTTGGTGCTAGGAATTGTTGGGTAGGGATACTCATATATCCCAAGTTTGACTTCCTTCTTCCCTTGTACTAGATCTTTGCCTGGTCCCTTTCTTTGCCTGAAGTTTTGGAGGTATTCCTGATTTGAATGAATCATTGGCTGAGGCTGCCTGTAACCAATCTTTGCCTTTGTCTTTTCTTTCCACACTGTCTCAAACCCAACCCTCCACCATTGTACTCCAACTTAGTCTCCATTTTCCCATCTTTCCATTCCCACTTTCTAACAAGCTCATTGGTGATGATTACGTTTAGTTGTTTCCTGTAGGTGCCTGGCTATCATGGTTTGAGCTCCTGTCCACACAGGTGTTATTCTACTTTTTACCCATGGACTTTCTCTCCAATTCTTTTCCTCTTCTCACCTCTCATCATGTTTCCTTTCCTCTTTCTAATCCCATGTATGTACAATATCTTATTCACCTGGGAGTATTTTTCAACTCATTTCTTAACTGTGTTCATCCTCCTCCAATCTGCTTGCAAGCTATGGAACTTCTAGTCACCAGGGTTTGAGAGGTTTTTAGCATGTAGAGACCATAGATTCATCAGAACTGCTTAGCCTTTCTGTTTACACGTATATGCACTTCCCCAATTGGTTCTTGCATGACCAGAAGAACCTCTCATGGGAAGCTTTGAGCTTAATGACTCACCTCTCCTCTACTTGAAGATTTGTATTGATGGCTAGACCAATACAATATTACAATTGGTGTTTCATTACTTCCAATCAAACTGGACCTGCACCTGTTCATGAAGGCTTCCCCCTCTTTTTGGGGAGCATCTTTGAATGACAATTTCACATCTAACACATGGACCAAGGACGAGTCCTCTCTTTATATCGTTGCACTCGAACTTCCAGTAGTCTGTTGGGCATGCTCCTGTTTCTTACCCCTCCTAGTTGATTATTTTGTTAGGATCCATTCTAACAACACCTCAGTTTTTCCTATATCAACTGCTAAAGGGGAACCCAGTGCAGGACCCCTTGTTTTCAAACCCTGGACCTTCCTTATTGGCCAGTTCTGTATGATTTTATCTCTTTGCCTGTCATATTCTGGGTATTATGAACCTGGTTGTGGGCCATTTCTCTCAGCTGGTCCATATAATGTCCATGAAATGGTCTCTTCACTTGAGATTTTCTGTTCAGGGTACTCTCTCATGTGGGCTCCACTCATTGATTCCTTACTACCCCTCTCATTTCCAATCCCTGACTGTCAGTGCCTTCAGCTAGAACTGGTCTTATCATTTTCATCATGCTTACCTATCTCTTTGTCTTCTACCTGGGGTTCTGGCCTTAATTCTAGGAACTCTTTGTCATGTCCTCTTGGTGGTACCTCTTTGGTTAGCTCAATCATTGTTTTTTCTTCTATGCCACCTGACAACCCAATCCCCCTCTTTCCCTGCCAACTATACTCTCTCTCCTTCTTCAACATCACATGTCACTATTCCATCATGAGATCTTGTCCCTCCACATTCATGTTTGGGATTTTTCTGGTCCATTGCATATTGAATCAGACTTTCCAATCAGGTAGCCTTTTCCACTCCTGTTGTACTTAGAATATCTTATCCATCTACCTGTGTAAGTGATGTGTCTTTGAATGTTGGTCCTTCTTCTGCAGCCTGAGTCTGTACAGTAAAGTTGAAATGAGCATGTCATAGAATACTGTGCCTTCCTCCTGCAACCTGCGACCATCTAGTAGAGTCAAGTTGAGCACTCACCACTATACTGTGTCCTACTCCTGAGGTCATGTCTGTTCACTATTGTTGAGTTGAGCATGCTGTATACACATGTGCCCTCCTCCTGCAGACATCACCTGTTCAGTTGAGATGAGCATGCTGTATACACATATGCCCTCCTCCTGTAGACATCACCTGTTTAGTTGAGGTGAGCATGCTGTATACAAGTGCCCTTCTTCTGCAGAGATCACCTGTTCGGTTGAGGTGAGCATGCTGTGTACACATAAGCCCTAGTCCTGCAGACATCACCTGTTCAGTTGAGTTGAAGTGAGCATGCTGTATACACAAGTGCCCTCCTCCTGTAGACATCACCTGTTTAGTTGAGTTGAGCATGATGTATACATGTGCCCTTCTCCTGCAGACATCACCTGTTTAGTAGGGTTGAGGTGAGCATGCTGTATACATGTGCCCTTTTGCAGACATCATCTGTTTAGTAGGGTTGAGGTGAGCATGCTGTATACACAAGTGCCCTTCTCCTGCAGACATCACCTGTTTAGTTGAGATGAGCATGCTGTATTACACATGTGCCCTCCTCCTGTAGATATCACCTGTTCAGTAGGGTTGAGGTGATCATGCTATATACACATACATGCCCTCCTCCTGCAGCTGATGTCTGTTCAGTTGAGTTGAGGTGTAAACACACATCATTCCACACACTATGGCATGAATATTGTTCCCTTCTCAAGCAGCAGATGTCTGCCCAATGATGGTAGAGATGAGGTGAGCATTGTACAGTCTGAATGAGCCCCAACCACACGATATATATATTGGCTCTCTGACTTCTTGTATGTAAGTACTCGGATGGCCATGTTGTTGTTCTGCCATGCAACACATGGGGCTTGTTTGCCTCTTCCTCCCTTCTTCCTTGATGAAGTGTAAGCTCTGTAAGAGATATGATGCGGTCTCCCACAAGTGTGCCCCTGTAGAGCCCTTGCCATTGGGTGTCACCCTCCATGAGTTTCCCTCGAGTGCTTTCTGAAGGGAAGTCATCTAAGTAAGTCTTTATATTGGTCCCTCCACCACTTCAATGTAGATTCTAGCTTAACTGTGGGAAGAAGTTTGAATCTTCTCAGAAGTTAACATTTTCCTTACCTGAACATGTATTGCCAATAGATACTCACCTCCGCATGCATGTTCCTTCCCTTCCTCAAAGCATAGAGGGAGTTAGTGCACAAGGAAATATGTCACCTTCCTATTACTGCATTATGCAGTAACATAATTCACAAGAAATCTGTTGAGATTACGTGGAAGTAGCTTAAAGGCTAGTGGCTTTTAAGTTTTCAAAGCAGATGCACGGGGAAGATAACTTAATTGTGTGATGAGGTGAGTATCTATTGGAAATACATTTTCAGGTAAGAAAAAATGTTAACTTTAAGTAGGAGCTATATGGAAATTCTGAAGAGGATGTGAAAAATAAGCACTGTTTGTTATAGAAGTGATTGAGGTAGAAAGCTCAAGCTTTTCAAAGCTAATGTTAGTTTACTCATTTTTATGATAAATAATCCATAAGAGATCTTGCCAATGATTTAGCTGTTAGTACAAGTGTGAATGTTACATCCTGAACAGTAACATACACAACAGCACTAAGTGGCCTCCATGTAGCTGCTCAAAACCACTGCTGAGGAGTGAAGACTGAAATCACACTTCAAACAATGAAATGAGCAAATGTTCCATACAAATAAATCAAAGTTTAAATGGTTTGGCAACATTGAATGATACTTCATTCAATGACAACATACGACTAATAGAATGAAGCATGCTGGGGGGGGGGGGGACCTATATAATGCATATCAGCCAGTAGTTTTAGAAATTTACACTAAATTGGTGGCACCCTCACTGCTGACAGGTACAACATATTCCTGTGCATCATGTCATTCCCACAAGAAAAAAGTTTCTTTAGCAAGGATTCATCCTTCCAGCAAATAGTAATCCCAATCATTCAGAAAATATGGTGAAATGATATATGGAAAGAAAAAGAGACTGATGGAACATTTGCAACAGTGGTTTGGCCTTTACACACACGTGCACACAGTTTGGATATAAATGTTATTTGGGCAATATGTAGAAACTGATAAGGTTAAACAACAGCAAAACAACTTTACTGAATTGTGAGGAATAATACAAGACAAGACATTTGGAACAATATTTCACAATCATAAATTGATAAGTTTTCAATAATGTAAAAACTAGGTGTACTATTCTGTGTAAAGCAAATAGAGAATGTTAGAGCATTGTTCATCTTATGCATTTTTCATTTGTATTTTCTGTGTTGTATCAATGCCCTTTATTTGCAATTTGATTACCCATTATTTTTGACTCCTGTAAATGTATCACCTGTGCATGTCTCTTAATGTTTGTCCAACTTTTGTCACCTTTCTCTTGACTATCCTACCATCAGCCATTTTTCTTCCTTTTACCTGGCTGTTCAATAGTGGATCAACTTTCTCCCCTTTTGCCAGTTATTGGGTGGTCTTGTCTACAACATTTTGCCTTTCTCGATACCAGAAGGTGTTTTCGTTCTCAGATCTCTCCACCTTTTTCTTGTCCTCCCTTATTCATATACCCACTTGTCCTGTTCACACAACTGACTGGGACCTCAATGTCATGCTGCACACACTTACTTGTGCCTCTTTCAAGCCATTGGCACTCTGCGACCTATGCCATCTTTCTCTTAAAACATATTTCATCTTCCTTCTCGCCTGTACTTTATATGTTGACATTTGCTCTTATGTTCCATTATAAATTATATTGAAATATTTTTGGGAATGTAATTTGGTGTTTTCCACTCTCTTCATACTGTGTGAAATAACTTTTTCAGGGAATTGGAAATCATTAAAGAATTGGAAAGCCTATCAAGTGAACATATAACTCTTTTGGAGAAAATGGTAAGTAGGCCAGTATACCACCAGTTTATCAACAAAACTTGTAAATGTTGAAAGTCAAAAGAAAAAAAAAATTGAATATTTTCTGTAATGAAAATTATAGCTGCAGAGTAAAATAGCTTTCAAATTGATTCAATCATCTTTATTGAAATGAAAACATGGTGAAATTAAAAGTTGGAAAGTTTGAACTTTTTCTTCTGTTTTTTCTTTACTATCAAACCCAGAAAGTGATCATTTCCATAATTACATACACTAAAACTTCTGTTCCTTAAGGGTGAGATTCACCCAACTCTAGTAATGAGCTCTGACTTAAGAGGACAGAAATGTATTTAAATTCTCTCTCTGGCTGGTAATTTGTTTTGTTTAGAAAAGGTGGGTGGATTTTTCAGTAGCCATCTTCCAATGAAAATCTGGTATGTTGTTACTAATGAAATTCAGTTCTAGGTCAAACCACTCAAAGGCACTTCCTTAATTGGTCAGTCAGAAATCACTTTCTCATAGTAATGGGACGTTAATAATAGTGCAAGTAAGATTTGTTCCCCTAATTGTCTGTAAATACCATTGGTTTGATTGATAAACCAAATATCCAATGGTAACAAACAGGCTGTTGTGTTTGGTTGACAACTGTTGATCACATGCAACTCTTAGTTTTTAGTGTATATTTGTTCAGTATATAAGATGACTTGTAAATAAAGTATTACAAAAATACTATGGAATTATCTTGCCACACGAAATGACTGTTTTCTTTTCATCAGAAAAGAATTGCAATAATGCTCTTTTTCTGTCATTGAACATTGCAAACCTTCTGGTTATTATTTGACAATTATAAATTAATATGTAAACTAGGGAATACTGTAACAGGTGTCTGTTATATTTAGCATTTCCATCTATATCGAAATAAGTATATGATAAACATGATATAAAGATCATATTTGTGTTATTAGTATGTATATAGACACATGCATATATGTATATCATTCACCTCTCTGACTAACTTTCATGTATATCGGGGTGTATACCCATCCCTGAAAGTCCTTGAAATTGAGAATGGAATTTCAAGGTCTTGAAAAGGGGCCTTTTTGCAAAAGCACTTGAAAATATTATAATAGCAGAATATATTGATATATCAAATTTTAACTCATGTTGTGGAGTTGAGCACAGTAAATAAAGTCTTTCTTTTCTCTTCTTTTTAATCTACATTCATATGTTAAACAAATAAGTAGGAAGTTTATAAAATTTCAGTGGAATTCGATAGATTTTGATGTAGATTTTAGCTTTCAAAAAGTGCTTGAAAAACATTCTGAGAGTGATTAGAAAGTGCTTGAAATGGATCTGAGCAATTTAGTATGAACTTTGTGTACATTCAGGCATTACCATGTTCATCCAATAGTAATGACTTTATCCTTCTGTTTAACTCAACTGTTGATGCTACCAAACATTAGCCACAATTATAACTATGATCAATCATTATAACATCTTGTTTTTACTTTTGCTGCATTTTCTGAATTGGTAAAAAACCAAAAAAGGTCATTTTCACTAAATGAAATTTGAATTACAAATTGTCCTCTTTATTTGAAAGAAAAGTTGAATATATCCAACTCAAAATACTTTATACACTTCTTCAACAAGAGAAACCAGTTTGATATTGACATTTTCATGTGCGATGACATCTAAACAATAGTCTGTTTTCTAAAGGTTGGAATTATCTTTGATCCTAAGTTTTCATGACATTTTACACAAAATAGATATATCAAGTGAAGAGGTGACAGTTTACTTTGTATGAATAAGACAAACCTCTTTCGTTACATCAGAAAAATTCCTCGGTGTAATTTGATTCAGCCATGGTTTCCTTTTCTGACATTGGTGTATTAGTGACACAAATTACATACCCCATACCATACTAATACGACAGAAGACAAGGTCATATCCTGAGGCTAGTAACAGCTACATTGTCCACTTACTAGTATGGACACTGTGCCTGCTCTGTAATGATAACCAAACCAATTAAAAATGGAGGCAGAAGTTGTTATGTTCTGTTTACACAATTTTTCAGACCCAGTGAAACTTGTTAAAAACCCTGAAGGAATGAGAAGTACAATGAAATAAATAATAATAAATAAAGTTAATTCTATTTTACTACTATTTTACTGTTTTGTACTATTCATAATGATATTCTTGTATCTTTTGGTTTTTTTAAGATTACAAATTGATGAGTGTATTTAATACTTTTCTCACATTTTTCACAACTTGCATGTTCTCTAAAACCTTTGAGATATCCACATAAAACATCGATAGCTGATTTCAGTTTGACTACCAATTTATTCACCATAACACTAATGCAGCTGTGATAAAGTTATGAATTATCAAAGTCAGACCGAGTTATCAAATGGACAGAAAGTAGTGGTAAACATGACTCTATTGCATACTTTGAATACGTAGATTATTTGTCAAAATGTTAGTTGACCCTCAATATTATACAAGAACAGTATATTGAAGAAATTCAGCCATCTCAGTGAGTTTGTTATCTCACTAACCCTAAGATATTGTAAAGTCAAATAATGAAGATGAAGACGGTTGATAAAAGATAAAACCTTTTATTTGCAAGGTTCGAATATTTCGGAACAACATATTCCATCTTCAGCGAAATCTGAAAATTGTGTTACAAAGATGATTAATTATATTATAATAACATAATCATTAGTTTACTTAGTTATTAAGAAAAATGGTAAATGGACAGATAAAACAGTGTGTGTGTGTATATATATTACACAACAGCTGAGTTAAGTGTGAGAATTTAGAACAATTTCAGATCTAAAAAGCTTTGTGAATCGATACGATTCAGACGGTCTTTAGCTATGAGTAGACTTTCTCTATCATCACCACAGGATCTTCAGACTTTGACCTCTACATAAAATTGTTCTAAATTTTCACACTTAACTAAGCTGTTGTGTAATATATATATATATATATATATATATAAATTGTTTCATCCATTCATTTGCCACTTTTCTTAATAACTAAGTAAACTAATGATTTTGTCATTATATTGTAATTTTAGTAATAATCATCTTTGTAACACAATTTCCATACTTCACTGAAGATGGAATAAGTTATTCTGAAACGTTCAAACATTTTAAATAAAATGTTTTATCAACCATCTTTACCTTCATTATTAAACTTCAGTTTCTGCATCATGAATCCATTGCTATTGTAAAGTCTACAGGTTACACATTGCTCAAGGTTACTCACAGTGAGAAACGTTACATACAACTGATCATTAGTTGTCAATCCTTTACTGGTTTTATGACTAAGATGTCACTTTTCAGCAAGCTTTAAAAGCTACACAGTGAAAAATAACTAATTTTCTTGTACAGATGTATGTGTATGTGTCTCTTACATTTTTGGGTAATTATGTTCTATCTATATTTTATCGGAAAAACTGTATTGATTTCTCTTGTAAAGGTGCAAGAGTTTTTTGTTTTTCAATCTGTATTTAGTAGAAGATATTTCAAGCTATCACAGTTTTATGTAAGTAAGTAATTGGAAAACATTTAAAGAAAATGTTTGAGAATAAAATCTTCGACACTGAATTTCTTAGTTGCTTGTGAAGTATAGACACCGAGTGTTTTTTGGGTTTCTTTATCAAGATCCTTGTTGATTTTATTTGGTGAATTTGAACGTGCAAGACTTTCTGCTTTGTTCAAATTTTTTCTGTTTAGTGTATAATCAAATGGTATCGGGTAATTTGTTAACGTTTCCTCATTGTTATATCAGAATCAGTCAACAGAGTTATAAAATACCACAAGAGGTCATCAAGGGAAATTTTTGTATATGTTTAACGTTCTACACATTCCTGCTGAGATGGTAATTACTGAACTTTTAAATGAAGGTTTAATTTGTATAATACAATATGCAGTGTGTTTGCTAGCAGCCTGGGTTTGTTAAAACAATATATGTACACTTTATAGTTTGTGCTTATGAGTATTAAGTATTTGGCTCACCTAGTTTGAATTTTTAACAGTGGTTACTAGTGTAATTAATCTTCTTGTTACCAACAGGTTAAGGCACATATCACAATGTTTCAGAATGTTATGTCAAAATTGAATTAAATAACTTTATTATCGTTGATTGTCAATAAGATTGGCATTACAATGTAGTTTATAATCCATATTTCAATATTATATATGTTTTAATATCCTAATTCTAAAGAAAATAAAAAGATAAATTAAATTTTTTTGTGTGTCATATGGTATGTCTTGTCTTATTGCTAAGTTTATATTTTATTATGCTTACCATACAGTAGTGGTTAATGAATTAGAAATTCAAATTTCAGACATTTTCAAGCTAGAATATACAGTAAGAACCTCCCACCTTTTTGATTTGCTGAGATAGTAATGTATATTTCTAACCTACCAGGGTAGCCCTGCCCACTACTCCATTTTTTTGAAATCTCTTGCCTAGTCATGCTTACTTTTCTTTAATTCATTTTTATAACCAATAGAAAGAGCATGTTCCAAACTACGTAATTTCACTGGTAATGGTGAAGACTGTTGATTAAGTCATTGCTCTGAACAGAAATGAGACTTTTCTAACTCACATACAATTTAGTTACAGTGGTTTTATGTACACAAGGATAGTGATTTGATAATTTTTTGGTTTTCTAAAATGCATCTTTGAAATCTACAAAAATTAATTTGTCTTTCCCATCCATTTGAGAGAATAAACATGGCATACGATGGGGCTTAGCAACTATAATGGATGAGTGTAAGTAAACTTCGTAACATCGTAAGTTTATTTACTGTTTTATGTTGTTGTTTTTTTTATGTTCCTAAACACTTACATACTTTGTCCACCTATACTGCTAGATTCTGACCATCCCAGGAGGAAAACTAATATCCAAGCACCTACCAAGTTTATTGGTTTGGCCTGGACTTTGTACAGAGCCATATTTATAACATTTTTTTTGCACATTTATTACTTTAAACAATTCTCATTGCAACCACTGTACTGTAAAGAAGCCGATAAACCTTCTCCCATTGTGATCGTGGAGCTAGAGTTATGATAAACTCTGTCAAATGGCAGGAGAGGTGATTCATTGCTTTAGATTTGGCAGGTTTCTACTTCAGCCACTAACAATAAAATGAACATAGGAAGTATATGTGAAAAGATTAGAATTAGAAACTCTCGGGAGAAGTATTTTGGAACTTCATGGTCAATACTAAAAAGGATAGAACAGTATTACTCACTCTGTTTTGAAATTTCAACCAATAAAGTTTTATAGTGGTTAAAGGGTTGATCAAATTGATCACCTCCATGTAGAGTTAGGGTAGAGAAAATAACAGATAAAATATAGGCTTTTTGAAGAAAAAACGTTGGATATTTATATAGGAATTTTTATAGATTATGCAAATGAAATTTGTAAACTTCCATATGAAGAAAAGTATTTTAATCTTTACACGAAAATCATTTTGCACTCAAAGCTGTCAACACTCTGACTTCATATGTTCACAAACAAATTGTTAGTAAAAATACTTAATTAAAGATTCTGATTTTTTTGTCTAAAAATGTTTTGTAATGTAAACTAATAGCATGAAAAATTTCATGAAGATATTCAAAATATGTTAAAAATTGTTAATAGTTGTAGTACAGAAGCTAATTATTACTTTGGGGTCAAGTGATCAGTGTAATCCACCAAGGCAATCATGAAAGAGTAACAAGGCCTTTAAAGTAGCATCATAGGAACAGTAATCAAAGTATAACCAGTAGTTAGTGTGCCAGGCTAGAGATCTGTGGTTTCATGATTTGTGTCATGTTACTGCCAAAAAATAAGATAGCATAGATGATCCAGTTAGCAATCTCGTATAGCTTCTAAAATGTGCAGTGTTTTCTTGGTGTTCCATGTAGAAGGTACTCATGTTATTGAGTTCTCATTTCAAGGCTTGTCACTCAATTACTTGAGAACCTACTTTACCTAGGTTTTTGTGGTTGCCAGTAGAGAAACGTTTAGAAATATTTTCCAAGATTTCTTTGTGAACTGAAAAAATAAAGATATTTGTATTAAAACATGATAGATATTCTTGTAAACTGGTATTATCAGTGTCTGATTTTCATGTACAGTCATTTATCTGTTCCTCACTGAAATTCACTTTTCAGTGAGGAAAAAATTTATAAGTAAGTTATCAGTGTCTGGTACATCATTAGAAAGAAAACATGTTTTGTTGTTTAGAGGCAAGAGGCTTCTGATCAGCTGAAACAGTTAACAGCTTTGATAAGAGGTAAGATTTCAAGTGAATCAAGTTCTTTTATGTAAACACTATTTAAATATGTTCTCAGTACTTGTGAATTTATGATAGACATATGAATGAATTCTGGTGTCTTCCTCATGGTGTTTTTCTTTATTGTGAATATTTTCCTGTTTTGAATATCTGTATGTTTTCACCATTTTATTTAAAGATTTCTTGACAAAAATAGAACATTTACTTAGTGTAATCTGTTTAAAATTATTGACTTAACCTTGGTAAACCTAAAAATAGTTTCACTGAAGTAGAAAGAAAATGTATTCAAAGATTGTTATCTTTATTTATATTAAGTAAAAATTTGTTGTTTCCCTTATTATGAGTTTAAAAGAATATTTTTTTAATTATTCAAGGCTCTCGCTTTGTAGTTAGCATGTCAAGCTATGGATTGAAGGGTTTGAATTTCGATGCTTCCGAACTTGCTTCACAATTTTAGCTGTGAACTTTTTATAAAAGTAATGGAAATGAAATCTAAGACACCCTTGACCAAGTTACCAAATTTGAAGAAACCTGAAATAAAAAAACTTGTAAGGCTAAAATTGGCCAAAGCTCTGCAATTAACAATAAGCGTAATAGCAAGATTTTAACTGTTTCGATAGTTGAAATAATTAAAAATATCAGTAATCAGAAATTGTTATTTCTATTAGTTGATTATTTTCATGACAGTCAGTATAACTTTGATCAATCGATTAGGTTACTACATTAATTGATGTAATCACTGCTTATAGGTTATTGTTTAAATCAACCAGCTCTTTGCCCACATACATACAAGGTGGTGCTCTTCATGTTTCATATAATTATATTTTTTTATCGACTTTTTATGATTTTCAGATTCCAGTTAGTTTCGAACTTCTGTAGACACAACTGATAAAGTCTAGACTAGAAATGACTTTTAAACAATGAGACTTGCTATAGAGAATGATTGACTAATTTTATCATTTTTCTTATAATGAGGCAAATGGTTTTCATACTTGTTCAGTATATCTGTGCCAGTGGTTAAGGCTGCAGTTTTTTCTAAACTTCAAGGAACCATATTATTAGAAATTTTTAAAACATGAAAGAATTAAGACTTGTATTTAAGAGTAAACCAGCAGTGAAATATCAACAGTAATGCAAGATATGGGAGGTACTTCTGGTAAGTACCGCAGCTGTTGAGGATTCCCTCTTGTATTGTGATAGCAGCAGCACTTGAAATCCTTTTAGGCAGGATTTGAGTAAATTAAAACGGGGGACCCCCCCCCCCCCCCACACACACACACACTTTATTAACTATATTTTTGTGCACCATCAATACCAAACGTGGGGTGTGCGTATACCTGATTTTATTTTATTACTCATCAGAATTTCTACCATCCAATTGAAATCCTTTTAGGCAGGATTTGAGTAAATTAATACGTGAGACCTCCCCCCCCCCCCCCCCCC